GTAATGTATATAAAAGCAAAAATAAAGGGAGAGAAAGAAGAAAACCACAGATTGAAACAGAGTGGGGTGGTAGTTTAACTTTCATAACCAAATAGAAATACTATTTTGAACAGGTATACATAGAAAAATAACAAATCGTGAGATACACAATTGTACTTCGAAAATTAAATGCTGAATATTTTTTCTACTTGGCTTACTTAGAGTTGGCCAATGCATATCTAGAATATAGAGTATGTTCACGTATGTTTGCATTCTGTTGCTGGGAATTGAACCCAGGACCTCATACATGCCACTGGCCACAACCCAAGAGTATATTCTAAGTCTGTAGTTGTACTCATATGTTTGTGCATGTGTAGTACATTATTTGCTTGTTGAGGTATATACAGCACTATGTATCACTTAAGAGTGAAGTTTCATGCCTCCTTCAAAGTATGTGACCACAGCACACCCACCACCAAATTCCCACTAATTCCTCACCACAGTCCATTGGTAGTTCTCTACCTTAGAGTTTGTTCCTCTCTCCATCTTGCCTCTGTTGTCAGCATCCATGGGCGTTTTGCTTTTGGCTCTGTCTGTTCCCTTTTTCTAAAAATTAAATTAAATTAAAATTTTTAAAAATTTAATTTAATTTTTAATTTAATTCCCTCTTTTAATTTAATTTTTTTACTGTCCACAGTGTTTTATTACGTTCAATATTCCAGCACCAATCCTACCACCATTATACATTCCCACCACCATTATTTCCTATTTTCCCACCACCAGCCTAGCCTGTACAAATTGCAGGCCCTAAATTATTTATTTTATATTGCTTGTTATGATTAATTCACTAGAAAAGATAAAAAAAGATTTTCTCAAAAGAAAGTGTGTGAAGGTTGTTGTATCTCACCCTGGAATAATTAAGCTCTTGTATAAGAGATTATTAGCATGTTGTTACAGGTTACACCTTATGTGTTAATATTTTCTTAATTGAGATTGGTTGCCTTCTACTTTTTTTTTTTACTACTCCTGGCATATCAGTGATGCAGAGTATGAGATGCTCCAGGAATTCAAAAATTTTGATGAGATGGTACACCTAGGGTCAAGTTTTTTAACTGGATGGTGACTTTGGAGTCTGGAAGCATCTTTGCAACTCACTGATCTCTTTGAAGATTTACATATGAGTCTCTGGATCAGGGCCAGTTAATGAGCTTATTTGGGCCAGAGGCAGTTTATGGGCATGACTGCCAGGCTTCTGGAAAAACAGGGGAGGATGGGGGGCAGTTAACCATCCCTGTTTTGTGGGAGCCTGGATATTTCAGTCACAAAGCCCTCGTGCCTGAGTTTTTCAACAGATTCACTCATAAATGCGGCTCATCCGAGCCTGTGGAGTCTGGCCGTGAGCATGGCAGTGATTTGTTCCCTTGTTTTATTTTATTTTGTTAGCACAGCGGGTAGGGCGTTCGCCTTACAAGCGGCCAACATGGCCGACCCGAGTTCGATTCCTCCGCCCCTCTCGGAGAGCCCGGCAAGCTACCGAGAGTATTCGATATGCCAGACACAGTAACAACAAAGTCTCCAATGGAGACGTTACTGGGCCCGCTCGAGCAAATCGACGATCAACGGGAGGGCCTTTACCCCTTTACCCTTTACCCCTTATTTTATTATTTTATTTTATTTTGGTTTTTGGGTCACAGCCAGTGGCGATGCACAGGGGCTACTCCTGGCTCATGCCCTCAGGAATTACTCCTGGTGGTGCTTGGGGACCATATAGGATACTGGGAATCGAACCTGGGTCGGCCGTGTGCAAGGCAAACGCCTTACCCACTATGCTATCGCTTCAGCCCCTGATTTTATTTTTTAAACTATATACATATATGAGTAGAATCTTCTGGTATTTGTTTTTCTCATTCTGACTGATTTCTAATGAAGCATGAGTCCATTTTCATCCATTGCGTAGCAAAGGCAAGCTTTCATCTTTGCTTATAGAGCAGTATGCTGTAAAGTATATCTCTTTATCGACTAATCTGTCTTTGGGCTCTGAGATAGTTTCCATAGCTTAGCTATTACAGATAGAATTGTTGTGAGCATAGAAGAGCAGATGCCTTTTCAAATTAGTGGGTTTGGGAGGGGTGAGAAGACATTTGGGCCACACCCTGCTTTTGGGCTGCAGCTAGCTCTGTGTTCAGGGTCTCCTGCAGGCAGTGCTTGGGGTCCTTGTGCAGTGCTGTTTGAACTGGGCTTGGATGCATACAAGGCAGGTACCCGAAACCCTGCACTATCTCTCCAGTCTGTGTTTCTGTATTCTTTGAGAGATACCTAGGAATGGAATTCCTATCTTCTATTTTTAATATCTTGGGGGGGAGGGCGGTCATCAGACTTTTCCATAGATGTTGCATCAACTTACATTCCTGCCAATGCTGCCAAGAGTTCCTTTTCTTCACACCTCACTAGCACTTATTTCTGGTCTTCTTGGACTAAGGCTGTTCTCACAGGTGTGAGGTGAATTCTCACTGTAGTGTTGAGTTCATTTCCTTCATTTACCTGGTAATCAGGGATAAGAATTTTTTTCCTTATGCCAGTTCGCCATCTGTTTATATGTCTTGCTTGACAAAATATTTATTCAAGTCTTTTGCTCACTTTTTAATCCAGATAGTTTTTCTGCAGTTGAGTTGTATGGGTTCTCTATTATTTTGGATATCAAATCCTTATCAAATATATAATTTGAAATGGCTTTTAACTTTCTCCGGGTTAGTGGACCTCATCTGCCTTCTGTCCATAGTTTCCTGTACTGTGCAACTTTAAGGTTTCCTGTGGTTCCACTTGTTTATTTTCTTCATGTTTCTTTGCTTGTGATGTAGTGGCAGTGACCAGTATCTAGACATTGACTGCCTTTGTTTCTCTTGGGGGTGCCTCTCAAGCAGTGCTCAGGGACTTCCAGAGCTTCTCCTGGCAACACTTGATCCACCTATGCAGGTGTTGGGGCTGGCAGTGCTGGAAACCACCAGAACCTCAGGTGTTGCCTGGGGAACCACCGGGCTATGTTTTAGGTCACCTGGGCCACACCTGGTAGGCTAAGGGAACCATGTGGGGTCAAGGTTCCAGCTCTATGCAAAGCCTACCAGGGGTCTCTGTATGCAAAGCCTGAGCTAAGTCCTTTAAGCTCTTGCCCCTGCCTTTGATAACTTTCTTTTTGTTTCCAGATTTTGATGTTCAAGTTGTTTTATTCAGTTTAAGTTTTAATTATAGTGTAAGATTGTCTAATGCCAATTGGGTTGGCATTTTTGACTATTGTCCACATAAAGTCTGACAGTTTCCTGTTCTTCTTTTTCCCATGTTGCTCCCTACGTCCAAAAAACCCTAAGTAGTTTTGTTCTATGTGTGCCTGGCACATGCTTGAAGCCAGCATATATTTTGTCATTTATTCTAGTTTTTCCTGCTATTTTATTCTTTCCTGGGTGCATGTTTGCAAATGCTCGGTATTCTAGCACTTAAATTGTTTTACCCAGGAAAATATCCCAATCTTGGGATTTTTTTTTTTGGTCAGGGGGATGATTTCCCACATAAGAAAGTTTTTTTTCTCAGCACTGTTTGTTGAAAGATATTATTCTTTCTCCATTGTATGTTCTATTGACTTCTTTGTTATAAATTAATTGGTCGTGTATGTGTGAGTTTATTTCTGGGCTCTGTATCCAGATCTACTGATCTCCATGTCTATTTTTCTGCCAATATTATAGTATGCTGATGACCATATTTGTAATAAAGTTTGAAGTAAGGGAGTGTGAAGCTTTGCTCTACTTCAGTTTGCTTTCATTATTTAAAAATCGACTTTGGGAATGAAAAGATTCTGATTTACTGAGGAAACTGAATGAATGCAATCATGATTGTAGAATTCCCTCACCAATGTGTTAAAGATCTTGATTTTTTATATAATGGGCAGGAAATTTCACTCTGAAGCTTTGGGATTTTAGAGTCCAACACTTTCCCAATCTTGCCCATCTCATCCTGGGACCAGTGTCCTCTGGGACACTATAAGCTTCTAGCTTGATTGAAACCAGATAGGGGCTTGTCAGAAAACAGAAATTTTGGGGGATTTTTAGCACAACTTTGATGTAGAGGTTTAGGCTGTCACCCAGGAATCTTCATTTTGACAGGCAGGGATTTGAATCTGATGGATAGATTTTGTTATATTTAAGTGGTATACTTTCTTATTTAAAGGGTAATGTTAGTGAGCATTATTCACAGTGACAGATGTCTTTTATGTGAGGTGATTAATAGCCATCTCAGCATATGCCTCCTTCTGGTTTTTTTTTCATGATTTTAGGTTTTTGGCATGTTTATACATTAAGATAGCTATTGCCAGAATTGTTACTTTTCTTCCATATTTCCTGTCTTAAAATTTTTTTAAACAGTATGTCAGAGGCCATGATAAATTTAAAGAGAGTAATGTTCCAGAATGAGTAACATCTTCATTTGAGATTATTAATATTTTATTTCTTGAAAAAAAAAGTGCAGCTAGAGCAATAGTAGAGCAGGTAGGGTGTTTGCCTTGCATGCAGGTGACCTGGATTCAATCCCTGGTACTCCATACGATTCCCCTTGTTTCCCCATGAGTGATTCATGAGTGCAGAGCAAGGAGTAATCCCTGAACACTGCTGGGTGTGGCCCCCAAACAAAAATAAAAAAACACAAAATTTAAAAAATTTGAGGATATATCTGGCAGTTCTTGGGACTCTACTCTAGGCTCAATCCCCTCGGTGCTTGAGGGACCATGTAGTGTCAAAGTTAAAACCCAGGCCTCTTGCATGCAGAGCTCCACTCAGTCTATTGAGCATCTCTGGCCCCAATAATTATTGTTTTCAATTACTGTCTTTATTTTCTTAAAAAAATTTATGTGCTGAATTTCATTACTTGGATAGTATCGTCCCTACCAAGTACACAGTTGGAATGTTTGGTTTTGTAAATCTTAACAGTGAAACTTAAAATATTGCTTTTTTTTTCTTTTTAAAATTCACACTGCTTAGAACTATTTTGGTGGAAAACTCTCCGCTCAAGGGAAAATGCCTTGGATTGAATATAATAATGAAAAAGTTTCTGGCACAGAATTCATAATTGACTTTCTGGAAGAGAAACTTGGAGTTAATTTAAACAAAAACCTCGGCCCTCATGAAAGAGCCATCTCCAGAGCAGTGACCAAGATGGTGGAAGAGCACTTCTACTGGTGAGTCCCCTTGGGCTGTGGGTGCTAGGGTGAACCCTGGGTCCTTTCCTCTTTCACCCTCCCTTGTCAAAAGCTCTCTCCATTCTGACGAGGTAGCAGTCACAGGTCATAGTTAGAGCGGCCAATGACTAGGCCAGTTGGTCTCTAGGTCTGGGGGGATATATTCTGTGCAGACTGGACTAAACATTTACTTAAGGCTTTGCTGGACAGTGTCCTCCCAGGAACCCCTCAACTGTCTGGAGGCATATGGATGAATAAGCAGGACAGTGCCTCAGGCAGTAAAAGTACTGACATTTGACTCTCACTTAACACAGTCTGTTGATTCCCACCCTCCACCTCATCTAAAAATGTCAAAACTTCTCAGCCCTGGGCTGCAGCGGGTGGATTCCTGATCTAGATGGGCTTACTGGGGTGAGGAACCTGCACTCTGTCTGAGAAATGTCACAGCAGACATCCCAAGTGGGAACAGTCTCTGCTTAAGAGTTTCAGCTGGAGTAAATGACCCTAGCTCTGTTGTTCTACAAGTTTTCGTTCCATGTCCTGGGCATCCCTGTTTCAGCCAGCAGGCAGAATGCTGCTGTGTGAGAGCGCTGCCTGCTTCCCTGATTCCCCAAGTGCAGGGGATCCACTCGGGGTGCTGTGCTGGCTATGAGCCCTGTGGACCAGGCAGAGGAGGGTCCTCATGTTTCATGAACCCAGTGTCACGTAGATCTGCTCCTTTCCTTTCTCCCTCATGTCTGTAATTTTCTCACCCCTCCATAGATGCCTATAGATAAGAAGTTTTATCCCTGATTTTTGCACACTTTGGTTTCAAAGATTAGTCATTGTTAGGCCCACTTTTTTTTGGTGTTATATTTGTGGATCTTTCGCTTACTCAGTAGCTGTTACTTCTGCCGCGCGAGATGCACTTGGTGGGGCTCTTGGTTCCTCCTTTCCCCCTTCCTTTTTTTATCCCTTCATCCCCATCCCTCTATCTAAATGTAAAATCTGCTCTTCCACTTCTTGATTCTAAGTGACTTTCTGTTCTTCTTTTGGGGGGCTGACCAGAAGCACTCCTACTCTTCCCACTCTTACTGTGCAGGGGAAAGGGCTGGGAGCAAGATGGACCAGTCAGAGAGTAGACGTGGGGATACAGACAATCTGGGGAGTGATCACTGTCTTCCCAGGATGAATGGGCTCTTTTCCTTAAAGAACCTGTGCAGAATCCTGGCGCTTCCATTTGAAAGAGTGCAGGGCTTGCAGCTCAGGAATAGAGCCCGTCTCCTTTGCTTATTATCTGCCAGTGCCCTCTTTGAAATGATGGAGGGCAATGAAGAGCTGGCAGCAGGCTACTCTGAGCCTTGGTGTCTTCTTGCCTTACCTCAGTGCGGCTGACGAAGTGCTATCTCATTAGATCAATGGGCCAGTTAATGTGGAGAACTTGGCAGCTGCCTGCAGAGGCGCTGAAAGCTATACGTTTTAGCAGACACTTTTGCAACAACTCTCTGATTTCTGTTCATGAAATTTATATTGGCTAGAATGACTTAGATCAAGCAAGGCTTCTCAGACAGCAGCCATCCTACTCTGGGTGGTAGAAGTTTTATGTGTTTTTTTTTTTTTGATGACTTCCTGGTGGAAGTTCATTTCTTGCTATTTTCTCCCTCCACATCTCTCATTACACAGCTTTAGCTAATATTTAATGGAAGGGAAAATATTTAATAGAGGTAGGCATGAGGATGGAGGGTGGGAAGATTTGAGAGGTAGTACCCTGTTAAGGAAAGAATCTTAATTTTACAGGCTACATACATGTACATGCAACCATGGGATTATTTGGGACATTTGTACACCATTCTAAGGATACCTTTATTTGTCTAGTGTACTTTTAAATTACAAAAACAGTTTCCTAAGGAGGTGGTGAGCTGCCATTTCTTCAGAATAACTCAAGGGTTATTTTTAGGAACAAATAGTGAAGGTGAAAACTAAGGCCTTAATTTAACATCCAGTGAAAACATCCATTTTAAGGATTCTAATTCCCCTGATCTTCTAGTAGCAGAAGAAAAACCAGGCCCTTCTTGGTGACCTTAGGTTCCCAAACCATGAGCCAACTTCTTGTAATGTGTTTTTGCCTGTTTTCCTTCCTCTGAGAGCAACTCTCAGCAGTGCTGGTGGCTGGAACCACTCCCTGTAGTGTGATGCTCAGAACATGTGGTACTTGGGGGCCATCTGGGCTATACTTACTGTGCTCGGGATCTCAAACCCAGGGCCTCCCATGTGCAAGGCACAGGTTCCACCCCTGATCCACATCTGGTCCCTAGATATTCTCTTTTGGGGCTAGAGCAATAGCACAGTGGGTAGGGCATTTGCCTTGCACGCGGCTGACCTGGGTTCGATTCCTAGCATCCCATATGGTCCCCTGAGCACCTCCAGGGGTAATTTCTGAGTGCAGAGCCAGGAATAGCCCCTGTGCATCGCTGGGTGTGACCCAAAAAGCAATAAAAAAATAGATAGATAGATAGATAGATAGATAGATAGATAGATAGATATCCTCTTTCTGTGGGGTGATCCTGAGCATACCTTTTGTGAGTTCTAAATCCCAGTGGAACAATGATCCTTGTCATTGCTGTTAAGAAAGTGCTTGAGGACACACAGAGAATCTGTGCTGTCCCTTCACTTCTCATCCTAACCAACCCCTCCCCCTTTTTTAAGTACTGAGGCCACACACAAAGTTTGCACCTGTAGAGTGGAAACCGACCATGCTATGAAGGAGAGAGTACCAATGGGCTTTCTTCAAGAGCATCATAAATTCTTTCATTCAACTGGCCCCAGAATGGTCACTATACTTACAGAGGTGGAAGAGGGGGGAATTGGCTTTCTGGCCGAATTGATTATCTGGAATTATTCCGGGTTTTTATTTTCATTTGCCACCTTAAAAATACTCAGCTTCAGTTAGGATGAATAGCAGAGCTAATGGATGTTGTCCATTATATAATGCCACATAGCCCTGAAGCACTATTCTATGTCTGTTCAAATAAGACCACTCAACTTCAAAGTGGTTTTTCTTGTACTTGAAATCTATTCAGTTTTGTCCCATTTGCATCATAAATATAATTGAAGATGAGGAAAACAGGGGTTTCTTTCTTTTTGTTCCACTGAATGCTTATATTAGCTTAAATGCGGACAGTTTGAGAGAGGTGAGTCAAATTACTGGAATGAAATCAATTTATGGTAAGACATTATAGCTTCTTTTGTGTGACATACTTCCTGTGGACACCAATGAGGTGGAACAGGACACCAGTGAGTCTTCCCAACTCAGGGCTGTAGAACAGTGTTTGCCTTACAGGCAGCCAACCCCACTTGATCTCTGGTACCAGCTTTGCCAGGAGTGACCATTGAACACAGAGCCAGGAATGGCACCTGAGACCACAGGGTGGAGCGCAATGTCTCCCCGCCTGCTTTCCCCGCCCCCCCCAAAAAACCTCTTCAACTCCTAGGGAAGGGGGGTAGGACATTGTTGTCTATCTAGTCACAACCTTTTCACTCATAAAATTTGGGACATTAGAACAGACAATTCACATTTGCTTGTAGGTTAGCCATAACTTTTTAAAATTTTGATTTTGACTTTGGTATAGTTTCAGTGAATAGAGGTCTGGGATCCTTTGAGAAAATCTGAGTCTTTTTCTATTGCAGCTGATTAATGCATTCTTTTATTTTCTCCCCTCCCCTCCCTTCCTTTCTCCTTTCTTCTTCTTTTTTTTTTTTTTTTTGCTTTTTGGGTCACACCCATCAGTGCACAGGTGTTACTCCTGGATCATGCACTCAGGAATTACTCCTGGCAGTGCTCGGGGGACTATATGGGATGCTGGGAATCGAACCTGGGTCAGCCATGTGCAAGGCAAATGCCCTACCCACTGTGCCCCCTTTCTCCTTCCTTTTTCCCCTCCCTTTTTTTCTTTTCCAGGGTGCCCTGCGGTAAAGGTGATCAAACCCAGGGCTTGATTCATAAGCTCTATCCCCATTTTTGTCCTTTTTTCTTCCTTGTTCATTCCTTTCGCTCAGTGAGGAGTTTCTGTTTGGATTCCAATGCCTGCAAAACTTGCCTTTCTGAAACTTACTATATATACACCTTGGAGCATTTCAAATACAAACAAAGGATGACAAAGACAGCATGACATAGGGAAAGGCATTTTCATTGTTGGGAAGCCTTGTACTGAGTTTTGATTTTTATCAAATGTTAGTCTTGTGCAATATATTTTTTACCATGTTAGGTTTTCACAAGAGATAGCTCTGTTAAAGCACCAAATGCTAATTTTTTCCCCTTCTTTTTTTTTTTTGTATCTCCATAAAAAGTCTTAGTAGGACTTGTTCTTCTGTTCTGATGAAGATAATCAATCTTTAAAAAAACAAACAACTCTTTCACCCCTTTGCAGGAGAGATCAGATATGTCATTTGTGGTAAAAATAAGTATCAATTTCCTGAATGAGGCTGTCAGAATGATAAATTATTTTAAATGCCCAGCCTAGACTAATTTTCGTATTGATACTACCATCCTCTTCACTTTAATAGTTCATGATTATAGGGGCCAGAGTGATAGGACAGAAGGTTGGGTGCTTACCTTGCATGTAGCTGACCTGAGTTCAATCCCTGGTATTCCACATGATTCTCTGAGCACCACCAGTGCAGAGCCAGGAATAACCCCTGAGCATTGCTGGATATGACCCAGAAACCAAAGGAAAGAAAAAGAATTCATGATTCCAGGGGTTAAGACATCTGTCCTTTTTTCTTTTCTTTTCTTTTTTTCCTGAATCACCGTGAGATATAGTTACAAACTTTCATGTTTGAGTTACAATCACACAATGATCAAACACCCACCCCTCCACCAGTGCACATTCCCCACCACCAATGTCCCCAATATACCCCCACCTTTCCCACCCTCCCACTGCCTCCATGGCAGACAATTCTCTCTACTTTTGGGCACTATGGTTTGCAATACAGATACTGAGAGGTTATTGTGTTTGGTCCTT